AAAACATTGGAATCGCATTTGAAAATATGCATCAGTTGTCATTGACTGCTGAAGGTCGTGTTGAATTATCAAAGATATTCAGGTTCGCTTCGGTATCTCATTGCAGTTGCTTCAAATGAGATTCATTCCTGGTTGTGGCTGATTTTGCTTAAATTATCTCCCATAATCATCCTTGTGACATTACAAGCTCCCTGATCAATCAATCTGATGCACAAGATTTCAGCCTCGTTCCAGCTTGGAATATTACTACGAAAGTCAATGAGAAGGATATGCAAAACTTCTTCGCGATCATGTATCAGAACTTTGACAGCATCGTGCAATACAATAATGATAATCGGGTATGGAATACCAAGGGAATATCTCAAATGATTTCTTTTCACAATCATCAAGGAGTCAAGCCGTTTGATGTCCTGAAGTTCCATGAAATTAATGAATTGAACTGCTTGGATGCAAATTAAATGTAAAAGTATGCCAATGATAATGATAACGTCAAATTAACCAAAACCATTCGCATCTGAATAAGTTAACGGTTGCGTTACATTAGTGTTACCCATCGATCTCGTGAGGGTCTGTTGAGATAAGAATGTTGTTTTATTGCAGGGCATATATGCATATGGTGAAGGAATGCGTGAGGGCTGTGGAATAATGCAGAATAACGAGAGAACCCCAATGCAGAATTTAGCTGAAGTTAATAAATACGTTGCCATATTCCCGAATGGGACTTTCGATTATACGGATTACGTTTACCAGAATCTAGTCAAATATTTAAAGAATGACACATTTTTCGATGGATGTGAGTGTTTTTGAAGCGTGTATACATTCCAAAGAAATTAATTTTTCACCTCTGGCTTATAATTAGTTAGTGCTGATTGAAATGCTGTTTACAATAGACTTCGAGTGCTTCCAAAGTACGAGGTACTTTGAAAGCACTGGAAGTGATAAATTATTTGCAATGAAAATAAAATTGTCAACAAGAGGTGACGTATATATCACTCGCATTGCAAACTTCCCTCTGGTTATTACCATTTTCAATCAACTACTGTACCAAAAGATCCGTTTTGTATTCTCTCTGAAAAAGGGAGGAGTTCATTCCTTTACAGCTGACTGGCGCACATGGACGTATCAAACCTGCACACAGTTTGGTTTCTTTGAATCAACAGACATTGGCTACAATATATGGGGTAGTCCAGTTCCTGTGAAGTTAGTTCCATTGGTTATCCATCCTAATTATACGATTAGGTCATCGATTGCTTTTCACAATGATCTCAAATTCCATCGATATCAACGTACCGCTCATTTTAACTGCTGATGAAATCAATTATCATGTAGAGTTCATTTTCGCTCAAAATTTTCACCACTTAATCGCTGAATCTCGTTGACACATAATCT